CGGTAAATAGCATAAGGTTTCATGTATATAAGTGTGGGAAATAGCCAAGCATTAGTTTTCATCTCTGTTTGGCTCTACTTTTGTGCGACTAATGTCTACGTGGGGATTAGTCAGCTTCTTGGACGCGCATGAGGGCAGTCGTTTCATCGGGATCCCAGGAGTTTCTTCATATCCAAGACCAAGGTTGAACCACCATTCTTAAAATCCAATGAGGATGATACACTACAGTCAGAGGTCTTATACCCTTTAGGGTAATCTATTTTCCGCGTAACCTCCGTTTCAGATGCAGGACTGACTGGAAATATTTTCCCTGTTGAAAGGTCTAAAATCCACGGGGGCCTTCTGAATGATGACTTAAAATGTTCCGACCACCGCTCTAAATGACTTTGCTGATAGTGAATCAGTGTGGCATTAGACTCTTAATATTTTACTTACAGCTACTTTCTTTGAGTCCATACTTCTAATTAGATGGATTGATTTTCAACTGTAACCAATCGATGCGACATTCTCCATATATAGTCTATACTGTGCCACCCAACCCTTCTCTCGGTCAGTCCCCGGGGTTTTGATCAACTGACATTTCGAGAATTTTTGCCGTATCGCATATGGTATCTGGAGTACTGGTTGTGCTAGCTCAACTGGCCCCCAGCGACATCTGATCTTTCAACCTCCACCTTGACTGGGCAAATACTCCCAGTTGATGCTAGCCCTCCACCTGAAATGGAGGTTTCTCGGGAAATAAGTTATCTCAAAAGGCATAAGGCCTCTGGCCCGGATGGGCTGTTCCCATCGATGTTTAAGGATGGAGGCTCAGTGTTAGTCTTGGAGTTAACGAAACTCTTCGGCTCAACATGGTAAGGGAAGAGGTTCCAGCTGAATGGTGTAAATCGGTGATCGTACCGATTTACAAGAAAGGCGACAGATCCTTGTGTGAAAACCATAGAGGAATTAGTTTGATCAACATCATCTCTAAACTACTCGCTGGTATTATACTCCGTCGATCGTCTGCCGCACGCGTGAAAACATGGCTGGTTTTGGACCTGGTCGAGGTTGTATCGACCACATCTTCACTCTCTGTCAAACTCTGGAGCATCGACATTCCCTTCGTAGACCCATCATCTCTGTTTTTCTCGATTTGAAAGTGGCTTTCGACTCAGTCGATCGCTCTAAACTCTGGCGCTGCCTTTCCCTGAAGTTTACTTCAATATTACGATCGCTTTACACGAATAGCCGCAGTCGAGTCCGGGCTTACCGCACTTTTTCGCCCGAGTTCACCACGGAAAGTGGCGTTCATCAGGGTTGCCCTTTCTCTCCTATTCTATTCAATTTTGTTATAGATTTGCTTATGGAAACAGTCCTATCCTGGTGCGAAGAAAGTGGCATCGATTTACTCCCAGGTGGCAGATTGTCCGATCCACAGTATGCAGACAACATTGAGCTACTAAGTAAAGATCCAGGTAAGTTGCAAGCGTTTTTGGACAGCTTGAATGCCAGTGTAGTCATGTTCGGTATGCGTTTTGCATCTTCGAAGTGCAAAATGTTACTGAGTTGGTCCAGCACTCAGCCTCACTCTAACGTAGAAGTAACAGAGTAAGTGGATAAGTTTTGTTATTTAGGCAACTACAACTAACCCGGCGGACGCATCACGGATGAAGTATCAGCTCGCATGCGGAAGGCTCGGTTGGCATTTGCTAACTTGAAACATCTGTGGAGCCGTCGCGACATCCGGTTCTGTGAAGCGTCGAGTGTGCGCCGCAGCAGTTCGACCAGTTCCGCTATATGGAGCAGAAACTTGGCCATTAAGAAAACAGGACAAAGATACACTGTCGGTATTTGAACACCGCTGTCTACGCAGCATTGCACGAATATGGTGGGGTAGCCGGATGAGCAATGCTGAGGTTAGGCGCAAAGTTTTGGGAATCCGAGGTCGCCCACTGGAGCAAGTGGTCGACCTCTATAGATTACGTTGGTTGGGACATGTGTTACGCATGTCACCAAATAGGTTGCGATGACAAGCGATGTTTGCCCAGGCAAGTAGTGGATGGAAGAAAGTCAAGAGTGGCCAAGCTAAGACCAGGCACGAGGGCATAAAATCCCTGACCAGGGGACTGGGTCACAGGTCCCGTTAGGCTCCCCGTCTGGGGACCTCGGGATAATCGTACCCGATGGTTAGATACACTGAATGATATGGCTGGGTATCGTAAACAGTGACGTTCTTACATCTTCTCAATTTCTTCGCAATCTTAGACCACTGAAATTCTCCAATTCCTGTTCGACTCTACCTTCAAATTTCCTGTCTTCTCCTATTCTTCATCCAAATGGGCAGCCAAAAGACAGCAACCAAAACCGGTTCACGAATATGCGTGGTTAATGGTTGTTCAAACTGAACTGAAATAAGGCATTTGAAGTCAAGAAGACTTATCGTTTGTGCTTTACCCGTGTGACAGAATACACCGTTATTTGGACAGACATTCCGGTAGTTTCAGTGATTAGCTTCCAGTGTCCACTGGGTCGTTCGGAAAGTGACTGAAGTGAGAAGTCACCAGAGAGCTCCACTTCATAGATCTATTTGCAACTGTCACCTACGTTGTGTTGTGGGCGGCGTTCTTGTGGTTGTTCATCAAAAGGTAGAAACTGACTCGCACCAGAGTGATATGTATTCATGGATGTAGATTAGTGAGAGTAACAGCCTTCAATGGGACTTCAACAGCGGCAGTGGATGGAGGGTCTCATAAAGCGTTTTGGTTTTCTGTGGAAGCAGCTGTGGTGACCGAAACAGCTCTTTGGGTGGCGTAGAGTTGAAGTAGGTGGTATCCATTGTTGGGTGGATTGTTTGGGATGATGATGAGGCGAGGAACGTCATGGTATAAATGATTCTTCAATTCCCGAACACTGCAATCCAGTTGGTGCATACATGGGCACAACGAATAAGCATAGATGAATCGTTCTGTAGCACAGAACCATTGCAACGCAATAGCTAATAATTGGTTTACTTTACTAATTCAACTCCTTCTGGTGTGAATATGGCAGCTACTCACTTTGATTGCTTAATTCGGTCTCCCAATGGAGTCCACAAAAACAATGTTATAGCATATCCAAGTAAGGATAGAAGTGACATGAACTGTAATCACTTGGATGCAGTTCATTATGGTTCCAGTTTTCATACAAGCTATTTTCAAACGAAACGGAAACACTATTAAAAAAAGACAATTCTTTTTGTAAATTAACCAATGAAATGCTTAAGTATGGGTTTTCCCTATTTAATTGCTTTGACTACGAAATGCCAATGGCTACGTGCACTGGGTGACGTTAAATCACTTACATTACTCATAAGTAGCTTGTTATTTTTTGCAAAAGTACGTCAGAGGGAAACCTCTATGGTCAAAGCACGCCAACAACAGAAGGGATACGTTCTAGCAATAAGACGATTTGCTTTTCACCTATGTTTACTGAGAAAAGAAGTTCTGGGATTCATGCGGAAGCGAACAGGAAAACAGTGCGGCTGTCTACAACCAAAGCTGAGTGGAGGCGCTGAGACTGGTCAAAAGTAAATAGCATCCCGGACACAAGTCCGGGATGGAAAGTCGAAATAGTTATTCATGAGCCACACAGATGAACAACACCAAGAGTGAATGACTGTAATACGGGGGAAGGTTGATGAATCAACTGACGAGAACAAAAATTTATGTAATAAACCTGTCGTGTAAATGAAGCGTGAGCTGAAAGTTGTGAACCACTGGACTGTTGTTTCGACCCGGTTGGGTCTCCTAAGCAGTGAGCGAATCCATCGGCCCGTTCGGGGATAGAACCTGGGACCCCAAAGTGAGAATATAAGCATACTATCCCCTCGAATCCATGAGTACCAGCAATGTCTATGGGGTTTTTTGATCGGAGTCACATAAATGCACCAAGTGCTTTTGTAACGCTTGGCAACCGCGCCATTGATATTTAATCGTGAGTGCTTGTATCTCACTGGATCTTTTTGGTTCGTGGCGTTTTGTGTGCCTCGCCTTTCAGATTCCACTTCAACCCCGACCCATGGAAGACCTATCTGCCAGTGTTTCTTTGCCAACTCTTTTCCCGCATCCCAACTGCCGTTCCCCACCGTCGATCGTCGTCCGCAAAGCCTCGCATTGTCTCCCGCTGAGAGAATACGAGCCGAGTGACATCCTGTCGCGCATATCCATCCACCCCGCTGCGCTGCGAGAGGCCGGAGTAAGTTCGTATTACACTTTTCCTTGGGTTACGATGATTGAAAACAAAGAGGTCACTGATGAACTAGTCACAATATAATATCGCATTTTCTTAGGTGAACAGCCCGATTGAATCACGCTACAGTGGAATCGGAATAACAAGATTTGACCGGGGTTAGGGGGATATGTGACAACAACTGACCGAGCGTCCAACCGGATTGGCTGGTAACGGCTGAATCAGAGTAACCAAGGAACGCAAAACCCTCGGAGCCAAATAAGCCAGCAGCCAATGCGCTTCCAGTCGATGAGTCAGATGATTGACAATGGAAATCTTATGCGTGCCAGGTGAACGAGATGTGTCAATGGACTGGGCATCGTTAGAATCGATCACGGTCGAAGACATAGATGGATAGTGCATGGAAGCACAGTTGGCTACCTCAGTGGGATTCAGCGATTTCAAATATTGTCGTGCCAGATTCGGAGTGAGTAGTAACTGAGGATGCTGACAATGCAAATAGAAGTCCAGCATGCAGAACTGAAAAAAGAAATAATGTCGACAAATTTATCATTGAGCAAAAACGATGATGCTACTTGGCAGTTCAAAAAAACAGCGAAAAATGTTTTTGTTGGATATTGTGAAATTATCATTGTAACCAGACCACATGTTTCACTTTGAGAGAGTACGTTTAGACTCCTCTTGCACATGCATGCATGCATGCATGCATGCATGTATGTATATATGTATTTGCAATATAATGCGAGTCTCATTTGCAGCTCGGGTAGTGGATTTGAGGTGAACAAGTCTTGAATAATCATTGCGATGATTCTGCATCATCTAACCACACTTATAACCCACATCTGATACAGATATTATATTGATGTCCCCATTGGACAATCTCTCCGCATGCTGAAAATATACTCTCCAGAATTCGTAGGTTGCCCTTTTCTTTATTCAGAAAGAAGAAATTTGCTGTCCACCCCACCAAAGATTATCCTCACATTCATTCACACCATCGCCTATACAAACTGTACACTTACTCACCTTGTTTTCCCCTTTCTGGCACTGGGTGATACACATCCCTTAAAGCAGAGTTTCCTCTCCTCTTCCCATTTAGGCTCCACCTGACGTCCTAACAACCCAGGAACGTTCCTTAAACGGTTTGACATCCGCCAATTGTTCGTTATTATCCATTTTATCGACCTGTCACGAATCAATTAATCAATCCCTGTCATTTGGACCGAGATTTGTGCCAGCCCAAATGGCAGATATCTGCACTAAATAAAATTTCTTTGAATCGAATTCTACTCCTACCGCCCTCGGTGAACAAAAAACCAATCATGTAATTCTCCACATTGTAAGTTTTCATGAGCTGCTGAAAGTTCGTTTTTTCTGTGAATAAAGCTTGGACCGATTCGGTAGTGCATCAATGCTCAAAGTCCCTCTATGCCAAAGGGATGACAGGATATACGTGTATGCACGAAAGAGCTGGCCGGCATAATGCGAATGCCTCTCACGTGGCCTATGGGTCATGTTGCATCTCTCTCGTTTTTCCTCAAGTCGTAGCTGGGGCACATGCAGTTGGTCGCCAGTTTTATGACTAATGCTGGAACAGTTCATTCATCTGGTAAAATCTGGCTTCCATGATCATTAAGGTGTCCGCATTCATTACCTAGGGAATGATATTGTATTAAGGGGAATCAGTTACCCCTGTTGCTTGGGTCCTACGGCTATTGTGCTTTGTTACCTTCTGCGTTCAGTGGTTATCGCGCCGGGCGCTACCACAGCGTTCATTGTCATGGGGTTATGTTGATGTACTTGATAGTCTGATTACTGTACACCACATGGCTGTATTTTGCCTTGCAAAACACCACAGACTTGGCGGTTTTGTATTTGTATAACTTGTGTAAGCATACATGCTTACATTTCAGTTGAAAATACACACTGTTCGTCACGCAGAATATAATAATAATAATAATAATAATAATAAAAGCAAGAGGTAAAGAACATCGGTGATATTTGTTTCATGTACAAAACTTTTGACGCAATTTTAGCCAAAACCTCAACTACAGCGGTCTTCTCGCCATAACGAACTAGCAAATCTCCGTGATCAAGTGATTCAGTTTGCCTAATGTGCACCAGCATAGTGGGACGTGTAGTATCAAACCCGAAGAGATGAGACAATCAAATAAAAAGGACCAATAAAACAATGGGCAACATAGTTCCAGTTTAACCAATCACTAACTATGCATTCTCGTGCGGCGGCTTTGATTGCTTCCGTCACGGAGAAACGGAACAAGATTAAAATGATCAGAACTCAAAAAAGCACAGGAACTCACTTTGAACCGACGTATAAAATTTTGCACGGAGAAATCCAAACACAGGAAAATGGAATCGATGAGAAACATCTGGATCGCATAGGTCAGACGGAATCCGGGGAAATCAATCAACTGGACAAAAAAGAGGAAAATGTGCGTTTGTGAGGAACGACACAGAAAGAAAGAGGGAGATCGGTCAACGTTTCGCATACTCACGTATCCACTCGATGACCAAACACCCAAAACGATAGAAAACTTCGAAGCGACAACCACCGAGCACAGTTGAATGACTCTATATACTGTACAGAATGGTCTTTTTGCACCTGTTGACGAGTGCATATGTGTTGAATCATTGAATTTAGTGTGTCTAGGAAGTGTTCCGTCGCCCCAAACATATCCGACCTGTACAATGTGCCTGAAGGATGCGAAGAGTTCACAGCATACTCCACGATCTAATCAATAACAGAACTGAAAAAGCCCTTCATGCCAAGCGATAAAAAGAATTTGAATCGTCTTAATTTTACAACCCAGCAATTCAATTCAAGTTTTTATGGCCCTGAAAATTTTCACATTCGCATAAACGCCTTACCAGCAAATCCAAACATTTTGAACGAGATTCTGATCATCATCATCATCATCATCACCATCGTACAGCGAAATACAGTGAAGCGAACTTTACTGATCGCTGACAAACTCGCAATGCATACAAAGTTACTGGTAAAACTTAAATTGGAGAGGGATTGGGCCTATTTTGAGGGAGAGGGAAAAAGGAGAATCTCTATGGTCAACACACAGAGTACGTAATCCAACTCTGCATACATACCATTTCAAGCATTCCGGTCTGATAAGAAACGACAACAAGAACGCCACTGCTGTCGGTTCGCATGTCATATCCTTCAAAGTATCCAAACAACCGGCTGTGGAGTCTTTCGGGCTCCAACCTGGAAGGCGCGAGACACCTATTCTACCTAATGGCTCCGTGCATTTCTCTATGTCTCATCTCTACTTCATCTGTTGACCTCCACGTGGTATCCTCCAGCCCGGATTAGCTACAGAGAATAATCAGGATTGTAAATGCGCTGATGGATGATGCTGAGATTCTGGTAAAATACTTCCATACTGCTGATATGGGTTGCATCTATGTTGGTGGTGTCCTTTGAAAACCATAGTTCTCACCGATCTTCCACAACTTCACCGTAATGTGTTCTAGTTGGGGCCACATTCAGTAGTTGTTCTAACTATAAGTTAGCTAAATCTGGGATGTTTTAACCTTAGATTCTCAACTGCAGCCTTCGGTCAGACAAAACCAAACCTGCACGGCAATGATGCGGTGTGCAAAACGAGCAACTCAATGAGGGCTGGTGCTCAGTCAATCGAATTCCACTTCTCTGAGAGGCGAGTCACACGTCCAGGGTGCCCAATACACTCGGAAATCATTACGACCAGGATGGCCATCTAGCTTTTCATTGATTCGAACGTTTGCACTCAAGGTTCTCCAGCTCCACTAGACGAGCCGATTAATCGCAACTCGTCAACCTAGATACAGATTTTTCGCCCCCTCCAGCACTTAGGTGAGAACTAATAGGTAATCCCAAATCGGTGATATAGAAAACATTCCGTGAGCGCACTTAGTGGGGATAAAAACAACCAGGAAATTCCCAATACCACACTGACTAAAAATCGTATTCGATGTGTGCGCAGACAACAGTCACAAATTACTCTGTTAGGTATCACTGGACGGCGAATAGTAGTTATAAATGGAATTTAAAAAGACCACACAACGTATGGCGGAAACAAAGAATGAAAATTCATTGAAACGAAAAAACCATTAAATCAGTGAGTGCACAGCGTTTGTGCTTCGAAGACTACGAACACGGATGAACATGCGTACCTCAGTCAGCACAGTTTCCAGGAACTTAGTCGGTGGCGGTACGGTAAACTGTTGAATCCGTAGGCGCGCCAAAGTGGAGGCGCTTAGACGGGATTCGAAACTGATTTCTGGCGATGTGCACAAACCGAGTACAAGTATCAATGGTAAAGTATGTGGTCTCAGTTTGTTCTCTTCTGAGACATAAATTGAAGTGAGTTCGATAAACTCTTGGAGTATCGCGGTGGGGATCGATTCGACTTGTGGAAGAATGATCACCAGAGGGCCGGGTTTCCCGTGAGACAATTTATTCTTGTGATTCGTCTGTTTTAATGGCGATTCCCGCTGGCGTAATCGAGGCGCGCTGGGTGTTCGTGGAGTTCTAGAAGTGGGGTGCTCGGTAAGTCGTCTGCCACAAAGCTGTCGTGAAGGGGGAGTTTTGGTCGGAGAGGAACTATCAACTGGGTTACCATGACGCAGAGCCGGTTGGCTAAGACTACGACGAGTTTTGGGAATTGGAACGCCAGTACCTGGAAGGAAGGTAGCAAACAAAAGAGAATGTTCCAGTATAAAGAGTGCTGTTTCATGCATGAATTGCCAACACAAAGAATAAGGTACAAGTACATTGTGAGTGCAAAAGATTGATAAAAACAAGTATATATCTTTATATCCAGGACACAAACGTGAATTAGGGTAACAATATAGATTATGTGGAGGTGAATATGGTGAATCTGGAAAGCTGACATTAACAATAAATGAACTGACGAGCGGCGTCCAGTCCTTGCATAGCTAAGTGCGAGACAACGGGGTGATGACTATGACCTTATTTGGTGATGGGCCAGCTTCGCACAGTCTATGATGCTTTCGACGGACGTTTGCGGCTTTTGTTGTACGTGGAGATTGCTGGAGCTGATGCTCGTCCATGACCGTTCGTTCCGTAAACCAGCGTCCTTCTATTCACAGCTTACTATCTGAATCAATGCTTTCTTATCCGCGACCTGGAGCCTAACCCGATGACGTGTAGCAGCGCAGATCGTGGAAAATCAATGTCCTCCTGCATTATAATTAGTAATCATA